ATAGCTCACAGCTACCTCCAACTCTTGGGTTTAAGTGATCCTCTTGCCTTAGCCTCCCATGTAGCTGAGACTATAGGGGCCCACCACAACACCCAGCTATTTTTTTGTTGCAGGTATCATTGTTGTTTAGCAGGCCTGTGCCGGGTTCCAACCCACCAGCCACAGTGTATGTGACCAGCATCCTACCCACTGAGCTATGGGTGCTGCCCAGAAGACCCAATTTTAATGGTATCTTATGACAGAGCCCTTAGGCAAACATGAGAGAAAAGCAGAAACCACATGTTGGAAATAATATCGAAAGATCATGATTAATTAGGAACAGCAGCCAATAATGTCACAATAGAGAGTACAGCTCTCGCTCTCTTTTTTTTTTTTTGAGACACAGTCTCACTTTGTCCACCCTGGGTAGAGTGCCGTGGCGTCATACCTCACAGCAACCTTAAACTCTTGGGCTTAAGCGATTCTTTAGACTTAGCCTCCCATGTAGGTGGGACTACAGGCACCTACCACAATGCCCAGCTATTTTTAGAGAGGAGGTCTCACTCTGGCTCAGACTGGTCTCAAACCTGTGAGCTCAGACAATCCACCTGCCTCGGCCTCCCAGAGTGCTAGGATTATAGGTATGAGCCACCATACCTTGCTTGAGAGTACAGTTCTTTATAGGGTTACAGATACAACAATTTCATTAAATGCTAATTAATATTTTCCTGAAGATAAGAATGTATTAGGGTCAGAGAGAGCACTGGGCAAAGCTCCTTCCATATAAACTGCACACAGTATTTAAAATTAACCAAGGGAAATTTACACTTCTGTTTTGATTTGACAGTTTTTACTATGTACTTAAATAGTCTTGAAATAATTGCAAAATATAGAGCATATCAAACAAACTTCAATTTTGGCTTTCTCTTTAGTAGGGTATAAATCCTTGTGATTGCCAAGGAATCTTCTGGGAAACCTCTAAGATGGCAGAAGTATAAAAGCCATCTTGAATTTCTTTTGTCTGAATTTAGGCTCTGATCTGGAGAAGGACAAAAAAAATACCAGACCAGTTTTGGCCACGCGATAAAGATAGAATCATATGTGCCTTCAAATATAAATAGTTATAACTAACTTTGTTGCTTACTATTAAAAGTGACAATAAAATAATAAAATAAACATAGCAGAAGCTAATGTAATCACAAAGAACGTAACTCTCTAGAGTGAGTGTTTTATTCCATTTTCTGTGCGGTAGCAGAATACCACAGACTGCATAATTTATTAAAAAAAAAGATATTTATTTGGCTTGTGGTTCTGCAGGCTGAGAACTCCAAGATCCAGATGCTGAATCTGATGCAGGCTTTTTGTCATAACATGGTAGAAAGTATCACATGGAAAGGAAACACACTGGACGTGAGGGACTGAGAGAGAAAAAGGAGGCTGAACTCCCACAACAGCTACCCCACACACATGATGATGACGTTAATCCATTTGTGAAAGCAAAGCCCTCATGACCTACTTATCTCTTAAAGGTCCTATATATATATATGTGTGTGTGTATATATATATATATATATATATTTTTTTTTTTTTTTTTTTTTTTTGGAGACAAAGCCTTAAGCTGTCGCCCTGGGTCGAGTGCTATGGCATCACAGCTCACAGCAACCTCCAACTCCTGAGCGATTCTCTTGCCTCACCCTCCCAAGTAACTGGGACTACAGGTACCCACCACAATGCCTGGCTATTTTTTTTTTTTTTTTTTTTTTGGTTGTAGTTATCATTGTTGTTTTGAAGGCCTGGGCTGGATTCAAACCTGCCAGCTCTGATGTATGTGGCTGGCGCCTTAGCCGCTTGAGCTACAGGCACCAAGCCAGTCCTATATTTTAATACTGTCACACGGCAACTGGATTTCAACATGATATTTGGGGGGTATAGTTAAACCACAGCAATGAGAAAGTAAAATGATAATAATAATAAATAAAAATAATAATTCTTATTAAAGACAGCCCAAAGGCTCTCTCTCTGCCTTTCTTCTCTGCTCTCTCTCTTTTTCCACCTCTTCCCCCTTGCTCTTCTCTGCTGTCTCTCTCTCTCTCTTCTCTTCCCCACTCTCTCGTTATCTCTCTCCCCTTTTCTCTTCTATTTTCTCTCCTCCTTGGTGCTGCTTTATAGCCTCCCTCCCCCACCAATAAAGACCTTCCGTACAAAAAAAAAAAAGACAGCACCAAGCACAGAAAGTGATTTTGGTCAGATATTGAATCTCTTCTAACTGAACATCTTACCAAGAAGGTAAAAAAAATCACTTTTTTTCCAGAAATAGAAAAATCCATCCCAAAATTCACATGGAATGTCCAGGGACACTGAATAGCCAAACACAATCTTGAAAAAGAACAAATTTAAAGGTCTCATACTTTCTGATTTCATTGCAGCTGTCAATGGACATTTATATATTACTTTTTTTTTTTTTAAAGACAGAGTCTCATTTTGTTGCCCTTGGTAGAGTGCCATGGCGTCATAGCTCACAGCAACCTTCAAC